AATATTTTATATCAGTTTCTGCGGACAATGACCCCTACAGTTTTCGATTGTATTAAAAATGCAACTCTCGCTCGCCACAAATGATTGCACTTTTGCGCGAAATTACAAACTTTTTTCAATCTGCCCTCTTGTTAAATTCAGATGTATTTTCACGATTCTGGGTCATTGAATAGGCGAAACCTTCTAGCTTACCATTTTTTTTTATATGGGGAATTTCCCTAATTAGCCAATATATCGAGAATTAGAAAATATTTGCTGCACATGAAGGTCGCTGCTACCGATGAAATTGATTTTAGTTTTTCAAGGAAAGCATTTATTTACTATTATTAACATTAATAATGACAATAATAATAATAATTAGTTGAATATACTTCTCAAAGTATAATTTGGTAGTGCATAATCATGTTTGAATGAAAAATTAAATTGATTTGAGGGATGCAGGTGTTACTGCTGTTATGTAGTTGCATGTAATGGCTCTTAAATGTAATTGGAAAAATCTTTCCTTCAAGTATCCATGCAAGATATAAAAACATAAAAACATCGCTGTCACTAATTGACCCCTGAAACTCATGCGAAAATTCGTGAAAATGTATAAAACCAGATAAATCTACCCTCCACATTTAGCCGAATTTTCAAACAATTAAGTAACGTGACGCGATTGAGTACACACGATTAGTGCACCCCATTGATTATTACTCGGTAAATATAACGAGAATACGCAATACATTGACGATTAGATCGATCGATACTGGCTGGGGTTGGGTATCGGTGAATAATGCGTGAAACGTGGAAGCCAGAGTGAGAGGTACAGAGAGAATGGCAGAGTTTGTTTGAGGTCATATTTACAGTCTCCGTACCCGAATTTCCAACATCGTTCGAACGATAATGATCATTTCCGTAATTAATTACGTGATTGAAACTGACGTTAATTAGTAAATGATTGAAAGAAAATTATCGCGAGGCAAAAGTATACTTTATTCCTCAAATAATTATGACGTGAATCAAATTTCATTAGAGATTAAATGAAATTATCATTTCATTATTAATTAGTGGACAATTAGATATTCCCCAGCTATGCATATTCGATCAGCGTCATGATCGATTTGAGTTGGTGGTGGATTTCAGTTTAAACGGCAGAAACTGATGGAAACACAAACTAACCCTCTACTTGTGACCTATAGTCATTGAATCTATTTCCCAACTGCATGCTATACTCCCTCATACGTAACACGCTCGCTACCTATATTATTAACGTGTAATTGAATGCCCGTGAGCTTGTACAGGGAATATTCTATTGTGCAAAGTCGTGTGCGCACCGCAAGTTAATTAAGATCCTCTAATGAACCCGGGCCGACGGCGCGCAAACGACGCCGTTCACTCTCTTTCTCAAGAACACTAGCATCTCCATCGATGAATTAAAAGTACTTGGAACAGTGGAGCTACTTTCAATCCAACCAATAATATTAACAATCATTAAGAGTTTTTAATCAATTTTCAAAGCAACGCATTAAACTGCTATTTTCATTCGAAATTCAAAAGATCATATTGAAAAATTGCCAATGCTAAATTTCATTTTGAAAAATAGAGTTACTCCATCGAGATGATAGAACGAAGGTTTTGTGAGTTACGATAAGGAGTTGTTCGTCGGTATACGATAGCAAATTTATACTTCGGTTTAAAGACACTTTCCATAAGATAAGAAATTTCTCCAAACCCACGCTTCTATGAATCAACTGTCTCACCTCATGCGATCAAACTTTTTTTCCTTGATAACTAGCATCAATGATATATAACTAGCAAAAAAATACCTTTTGGTTTTCATAGGATTTCTATTCTACAATCTTCGCCGAGAAAAATTTTATTTCGGTATTGTCAATATATTTGAAACAAAGAAATACCTAAGATCTCTCTGTACAATGCCCACTTTAGTTGTGGCCTCCAACAATTCACTAGCATTGCTCAGTTATACATTGAGCAATAGTATTTTTCACGCCTAGGACGGAAAAAGTGAATCTGACGAATTCGGCTCTATAGTCCGAGCCGAAGGCGATGATTATAATACGCATGAGTCAGAATCACTTTTTTCGCCCTGACTATGATCATATTTTAGGTAATTGTGGCAGAAAACGCGTTTTTATCCGAGTGAAGCGAGGTTAGAAGTTTTTTCACAAGGTCTGTTCAATGTTATCAGCCATGATCAATCAAACGAAGACGATAACGCCAATGACTGATGCTTTTCAAACGACGTTGTTGATATCTCATTGAGACTTCACTGTTATGTGTTATATTCTTAAAAAATAAATAAGAATATTTAGAAAAAGTACCATGTGGTAGTGTTAACGTAGAAACTCATAGTCAAACATTGCCACAAGGACCATATCTTCCATTGAACAAAAAACTTTAATTTAGAGACTTTGCATTTTTTCGAAAAATGGTGAGCAACGATTTCATGACAAGAAGCCGACTTCACGAACTAGATCAAGTAGTTTTTACATTCAAATCTTTTGAATTAAAAAATAAATAGTCACGTGTTTATTATCAGTAAATTATCGTCATCTTTGGAACAAGTGCATAATATAATAATTTCCTCGTCAATTTACGAGTTTCAGGAGTTTCTTGTTTACGGGAGTTTCATGCCACAAGTAGATAGGTGCTTTTAGAGAAACTACTCATTTTACTGACAAGCACTAAATTACTTGACAAAAATTTTATTCTCCCAGTGTAAGGTATCGTACTTCTTCAACACATTTTTTTTCTACGACTTGGATGTCAGAATTTTACTTTTCCCAATTTCGGTATGTTTAGTACCTCTGCTAGCTTCCCAATAAACTTTGTTTCATTGGTAATTCAGTCCTTCTGAGTATATTTGAACGGTAAAAATCTCATACAAAGAACAGTCTGCAAATGGTAAACGGACCTGAATTTTTATACTCACATTGCTAAGCAGTTAAGTCCATAAACCATTGCACTTTTATGCTCACTTTTATCGTTCAATTCTACTACTCTCATTCAGTGTCAAGTATCTGTGTTCTTATTCCAAAATACAAATCCACTTAATTTCCAAGATCTTTCTACGTTGTAAAAAACAATAATATTTTACTATAAATTTTTCTCGACCTCTGGACAAACACAGGCTTTTATATAGGCCCATTAAAAAAATTAGAAATTACAAATTTCATAACTGAACGCTCGAGAAAGAGGTTTGGAAGGAGCTGGCAGACCGAAAGCCGGTGGAAACCCTCCCCAGCAAAAGCTTACACTGTTAATTAACATACTGAGGGTAGCGTACTTGTACTCAGGATTGCTATCTAAGACGAGACTATACTGTTTTCCCCCTCTAGAATAATAGGAGGGAAACTTTGTCATCCCCTGAAAAGCCATACTCAACCCCTTCGCCAACAAATCGAACATTTTGAATTCTAAGGAAATTATAATTATTGAAGACAGAAATTCTCCAACTTCAATTTTCTATTAAATTTGATTCGAATCATTTGAATAAAGTCCCAGTCTTACCTTATTTATTCATCAAACTATCAATCTTCTGTTCAAAAATTCCTGACAAATTCAATGCAGCGTTAAACAAGTTTCTGTCCATAATAGGCTTCCCCGTGGATTGTGATAGAAAACAGCCACAAAAGAATTTAATTTAAAAACCAGTCTAACATTAAAAGAAAACAAAAAAAGCAAGCTGATATTTTCATGTTTGCATCCGTTGACGACCGAACAATTATTTCGAGATAAAAAAGAGACGAAGACTTAAAAGAAATGGAATTTACTGGATATTTCTTATAGATATTATAGAATGCTTCAACGTGAATCTTGAAAAAAAACATCATAGTAAGTTAATTCATTATAGGGATATTGAAGGGTGTTAGGTGTACATGCGAACTTGAATATCTCGGAGATTACTTATTCGATTCAGCTCATCAAATTCCATACGAACCGTTATGATTATTAAAGGCCCTTCCATACTGAATCAAACACTCCCGAGTGAAAATTGGAATCAAATGCTGATCAGGCATGTAACACTTTTTTATTTCTATTTTTCATACTATTTCTCACGATTCCTTATTCGCGAATTGGTACTGCATACTTCCTGAACTCGAAAATTTGAAAATCACTATGGCAAAATACTATGCAGGCTTTTGGGATGAGGATTTTTTTACTCGTGTAGTTGGCCAGTTCTTGCCTTCCGCTTGGACACCAACTCCAAAGGAGTAAGAAAACCTATTCCAGCAGCCTGTAAATATACTATTTCTCCCAACTCGGCAGATTTCTTAGAATCAATATTCATCATCGTTTTTTTATAATCACTGGAGGGGTTTCTGTAATATAATTTGATACGCAAATTTAACAATCCATTATACTAACAAGATGAAATTCAAGGGACGGATGATGAGCGATGATTCATACGGGCCTCAAGTCATTCTCAATATTTGAATCGAAACTAAAAGATACTTGAATATTCCTAAGTTCGCAATTCGCAAATTACTGTTGAATAATGATAAAAGATTTCTTTATCACCCGCGATATCTAACTCGAGAAATCCCCGACATCAACGAAACAATAGCCTGAGGGTGAACGGGAGTGTATTTTATTAGTCGTGAACCTCGTTGTCCTAGTTATGGTGGCGCAAAACCACTGTGACTGAGTCTCCCGACTGACTCATCTCACTCAAGCCATTCATCCCACCCTCTCTTTTCTGGAGAAAATTATGTGGCATAGAAATTTGAAGGAGCAAACCCCGTTTGGTGGGAAACACTCCTTAGGTTACTGCCACTGCCAAGTGCCACTTATCCACCGTGATTCCTGAAAACGATAAAGTGATCTCTTATCCCACTAAGAAAGTTTGACGCATCTACGGGAATGGTGTGCTCGAGTAGTTTCCAGATTTGTTTGTGTCGGTGGCATTTTCGAGTTGACTTGACTGGGAATCAAGTGAAATTGTAATGTAGGAGAGTTGGTTATGGTATGTCGTAAAGAACTTCTTGGTCGGGGACTTCTCGTGTCTAAGTGCCTTTATTCCAAACAACAGGGGGTTATTTGAGTTAGTAATAACTGTTTCAATACATTCACTATCATTTCTGAATTATCATAGCAGGAGACCCTTAAAAGATTAAAAATATAAACATTACATCCGCATTTATCAATCAGTCGAAGACAATCATTGATAATCAATGAAGACGCCGCAATCGAATCCAAGCTCCACCTTTGATGTAGGGCATCAAACTCATAGGATCCAACACGATGGGCTCTCGCAGTTTAGGGGATTTTTCGATGACAAAATTTCTCAATATATTTACAAAAACCATTTTGACAACAAGCATGGCCATTCTCATACCAGGGCACTGCCTTGGTCCTTCTGAAAATGGAAGAAAGACGTAATTATGTCTCTGTTTGCATTCCTGAGATTCTTTATCAAAGCGCTCTGGTCGGAATTCATCAGGTCTGTCCCAGTAATCCGGATCCTTATGGAGACCATAGATCGACAACATAACCTCATCTCCCGGTTTCATCTTGTGTCGAAGACCATCCGAGCCGACGAGTTCAGTCTCTTCACTACAAAACTTTCTCAGCGCCCCCGCAATAGGGTGAAGTCTCGTGGATTCAGAGATTACCTGATCCAAATATGTCATCTCACTGATAGCTTCATACGAAACTTCACCTCCAAACCTACTGGCCACTGTCTCGATCTCCTTTCTCACTTTACTCTGGACTTCGGGATACTTCGCCAGATCACATGCAAGGAAACTCATTGTCAATGTCGATGTCTCATAACTTTCCAAAAAGAACGAAAATACATTTGAAATCACAGAAGACCGGGACAGGTTCTTCCCGGCACAATACTCAGTCAAATGTTGGAGAACATCTTCCCTCTTTGTCATCCCATTCTCTCTTTCATCTATCAAATTATTCACGATTTTCGTAAATCGTTTACTCACCCACTGCGGGACGAAACTCGTTCCAAAGAAAGTATTCAACATTGGAAAGAAGAAGAATGCAATCCCCTTAAGCGTTTGCAAAGTCGAGGGAACAAAAATTGTCTCCATCATGCTCTTGAAGATCTTCGGAGAGTCATCGTTGAACATACCCTCCTCAACGCTCAAAACTGCATTTGCCGAAACCTCAACAGTTACTCTTTTGAAGAGAGGTTTACCTTCCACATCAATACTTTGCTTCCCTTCTAACTGATTATTCAAATACTTCACGAATTTCGAGCAACCATCACGAAGCACTAGACTAAGTGTTTTCAGTTTCTTAGATGTCATTGTAGACAGAAGTACACTCCGCGCGTCCTTCCACTTCTGATCGTTTAAGAAGAAAGGATTCTGGTCCATCAATGGATCTATGATATTGTCCAATGTCTGATGATGCCGAAAGTTGTTGAACTCAGTTTGTAGTACAGTCTTCACCAATTCCGCATCTCTTACTACAAGTACTGGCTTTCTCAACATGTATATGCCAACCATGCTGCTTTTGGGAAAAGCCTTGTGAATGTCCTCCATCATTTCAGCTACACTTTTCTTCATGGTAAACGTCGGCAACATGTGCCCAAAACCCGGGACAATTCCTGAAGGAACCAGTATTCGTCTTTCCTGCCAATACCCATAATTGGCGGTCAAATAACGATAGAGTAACGCAAAAATGACAGCTATGAGAGCCGTTGTTACAATGCACATCAGCTCCATTGCACTTATAAATTCCCTCCGACTGTACTCCGTGCTTGCGCGATGGCAACTACGTTGTCCGCAGTGAGATTATTCTATTTAAAAATGACCCTGAGTCTGCTGTTCATGACGATAAAGTGATGTTGATTTATCTTTTAGACGTGATTCCATTGTGGGAGATCGGTATTTATTCATATCGTAACTGCTGTGTCCGATAGTTTGCATAGAAAAACAAATCATTATGATTGATGCATTATTTATAAACCATTGGCTTTGTAGGTGATGATTAGTCTATTTATAATGTGCATTAAACTGAATCATAGCAGTGACAAATCGCTTCATATTTTTCTTTTTTTTTCTCTCCAGAAATAGTTCCATATCTTTCTATTATCTTGTATTTTTCTATTATTTTGTATTTGCTCCTTGTAATCTACAGAAAATTATCAATTTTATTGAATATCAGTCAAATAACAGACCATAAAATTAGTCTAGTGCTTCTCTATTGTCATTAATGTAAAAAACAAAGGATTGAGGATTGTTGGAGAAAATGATAAGAACAAAATTACGATTAAATGCTTTTTTTTTAATTTTCTCTCATATCCGTTGACATGTTTGGATACAAAAAAAACGTGCTATCGATAAGAAAAAATTCGCTGAACTTGCGAATTGAAAAGAGTTTCAATCCCCTCACAATTTAATCCTTGATTCAACTAAAAAATTTCAGAAAGTCAGATAAGACAATACATTCAGAAGAAAAACGAGGTTTATTCAATAACACATCTCCTAGTAATAAGTAATAAGACTACATTAATCTAAATGAAGCCACTTGCAGTCAATAAAGTCACGGACGTGGCCTCAAACGAACCCAGATGCCTCCGTAAATTGCTACCATAAAGTATCTAGGATCGAGCTGAGCCGGGTCAGCCATCCTCTCCGATTTTTCAATAACAAAATTCTTCAAAACCGCAGCCATGGCCGCCTTAACCTGCAGAAGACCCATCCTCATACCCGGGCACATGCGAGGACCTTCGCCAAAGGCCAAGTACACAAATTTGTGTCTCAGCTCCTCATGCTCCTTGTCGAATCTCTCTGGCATGAATTCATCCGGGTTCCTCCAGTATTGCGGGTCCTTATGTAGCCCTGATACCGGAATATGGACCTCTGCACCCGGCTTGAGGGTGCAGGTAAGGCCGTCCGGACCCTCCAAAGTTACGGGTTTAGAGCAGAATCTCACCATTCGTCCTACTGGCGTGAACAACCTTAGAGACTCTTTCGCAACTTGTTCGATATATGTCAAGTCATTGATGGCTTCATACGAGCAAATGCTCCCATGCTTCTCCAAGATCTCCTCCACCTCCTTTCTCATCTTCTCTTGGACCTTCGGGTACTTAGCAGCGAAATAAGACATGAGAGCAAGTGTCACACTGGATGTCTCGAACTGTTCAATGACAAAACTGAAAGCGTGAGCAGCTAACTCATCACCATCCATGCCCTTCTCCTTCAGATAATCCGAAATATGTTGCAAAATGTCGTTCCTCTGAATCATTTCTTGACTCCTTATTGATTTGATATCACTGATCATTTTTTGAAAGGCGATATTTACCCATTTGGGAACAAAATTGATGGGCAAGAACTGCCCCAATGCAGGCAACAGCAATACAAAATTCTGCTTGAGACCGATCGCACTCGTTACATGAAACATTGTTTTCATCATACTCGAGAGGGAGTTCTTTTCAATTTTATCAAGGAAAATGTGATTATCGATGCTAAGTATCGAACTAGCTGCAACTTCCAGGGTATATTTCTCAAACAACTCCTTCACTTCCAATTCAATAGAGCCGGTTTTGCTAGATTTTTCCTTCAGATAAGTTATTAATTTTTCACAAGTGGTACTAATCTGAAAGATTCTGTCCTTCAATTTCTTTGACGAAAATGCACTCACGAATATCCCCCGTTTGTCCTTCCAGGCTTGTCCATTTTGGAAAAATGGATCATGAAACAGGAGGGGATCATTCTTTTTTACGAGGGTTATATTGTCACTGAAGTAGCCGAATCCTGTGCTCAATACGAATTTCACCAAATCTGGATCTCTTACCACGAGAACGGGATTCTGGGCTACGTAGATTCCTACCATGCTATCGTCGGGATGATCTTTGTAGAAAACTTCCGTCATCATTCCCATATTCTTTCGAAGTAGAACTTGATCCAATATGTGGCCGATGCCCAGGATTGCTCCTCTGGCTTCCGGAATACCTTTACATTTCCAGTAGCCATTATTTCGAGCGAGATATTTGTAGATCACAAAAATTAATACTAAGATGAAAGCAATAGTGTAGAGACAATAGGAGTCCATGTTGCTTCACCACTTGTCTCCTACGTACTGATTTGGTTTTACAATTCATGCAAGAGAGAGCACTGCGTATCCATCGCTCATGACGAAATCGCATTTAAAGTGCGTTGGATAGATATAGGTGTAGTATGCTAGCAGTGGGTGAATAATATTGCACACATACTCATAAAATATCATGGATACTTTATCTCATGACCCGAGTTGGGTGAGATATCTTCGTACGAAGTGGAAAAGTTGGCTTTTAAGTGTTTCTTATTTGAGACTGCTAGATACAGGTGACTTGTACATGATATTGTCCTTCACCATATGCTACTTTCCATTGGATGTATATTGTCCGCCAATTACTGTAATGAAAATAATTTCTTTTTGTTCTTGTCAATAATTAAGAATTAAATTCGGTATTATAGGACCATTTATACGCCCTACAAATACATGATTGAGAAAAAATGGAAAATTTGCGGGAATTGAATTTTTTTTAGGATCATGAAGGTGAGGAATTTTTTACTTCTATTCCAAATTCTACTAAATTGGTAAAATAGAATAAGTACTTTTTGATCATACCTAGTTAATAATGAATCTCTTGTAAATGAAGAGACGTAGTAGAATTGTTATATTTTTGTAAATTTTATTTTCAACGAAATTTGTGATCACGCGAACACCTTTAGCCTGAATTATCATGTGATTTTTCGTGGTGCTCCTATCGCTATTCGAAAAATATCCGTTTATGAAATTTTCACATGTAAATTGTATTATTAAAAAAAAATTTTTTTTTAGAGAAGACCCTCAATACTGTAATTAATTCCGCATTATATGTAACCCGAAGGTACGTTTTTATCATTAATAGTTAGGGGTAGGAGGAGTGGATGAGTGAAGGGGTGCGGATTTTCGCCTCCCACTCCGCTCTCTTCCCCCTCGCCTTCCTTTTCAAAAGTAATTAGCTGTTGATTTTCTGGCTGGTTTTAAGAATGTATATATACTATTGCAAATAATATGGTGTTGAAATAAAATGTTGTTACTGAAAAAAATTGTTGGTTCGAGGTTTGTCGAGTACAAAATTGGAATTCGACAATTCGGTTTTTTCAGCGTCGATATCGTTGCCGCCGCGGTTAGCGATAATCAATATGATAAATCATAAAAACGCAAAAAATTTATTCTTTCATTTTTTGTTAAGTAATTTAATGAGTGCCTTGATAGCCAATCATATGCCGAGCATTTACAGTCCACTCTGTCATTATTTTTTATTACTAGCTTCTTTCCATGACCGTGAAAAACTTGATAATAGGATAAATTTTGATAAAAAATGAATGTTATTAATATTTTAGGGTAAAAATAATGAGACTCGACTGTCAATTGGCGACCATCATTGGGCCGACCGCAAGGCACCAATAATCCGACGGGAGTAATCATCCAAGGCTCGACAGAACATTGGGCCAGTATCTTTTCAAAACTTCGGAAATGTTGATTTTGGTGCGATCTGCAAATCAATCCGGTCATCCTACGTGGAAAGTTCGATTATTCCATGAGAATGATTATTCCATGAGGTACCATATTGTGTCTCAACGATAATCAAACTGAATAACTACAAAAAAATCGACAACAAATCTTAAATACCTTAATTTTCTTAATGGTTCGGTCGATGGAAAAGAGGATTTTGGACATCGCCGGATTAGTTTCTCCCTCCCATTATATATTTTCTCTTTCTGCTCAGGTGGAAAGTAGTGAAGGGACAAGAACGATATCTTAACTCGAGGCGGCGTCATAAACGCCAAGCGCAGGAGGCACTTGTATCTCTCACTGGGGTCGTTGGTAACAATGAGACAAACCGAGCGGTGAAGCTGCTTGTCTGCAAGGATGGAGAAAGGAAAGTGGAGAGAGGAAAGAGGAAAGAGGAAAGAGGGAAGAGGGAAGAGGGAAGAGGAGAAATGAGAAGAGAGTTTGGGATTGTGCGGGCCCGCCAGAGTCGGAGCGTCCGGAACATCCCTCCCGGCTCTTTTGCCACTCTCTCCACCCCCATATACCCCTCACCCAGATACCACGTTTACTGTACCTAAGAGCCTCGCAAAGGTGCAATGATCCTACAGATTGTATACAATCGCTAAAACATGAGATAACCATGCCCTTCCTCTAGCAAAAAATGAACTGTCGAGTGGCTCGAGATAATTCAGTCTTTTTAAAGTATCAGTATCATAGAATACGGTCATCTATGATTGAAAAATTAAAGCTTTCATTTGATTGAAAATTCAACGAAGTATTTATTTCAATCTTTTTCATTTCTATTACTACTTTATTATTACTTTTGTACAGTAAATACCTACTAAAGGAATTCAAATCAATTAAATGAATTAGTTTACTTGAATAGTGCGGAATGCAATATTTTACAATTGAACTAAAAATATATTTAAAAATTTGATTACGGTAAAAGGAGGTTTCGTTGATATTAATAAATATTTAGGCGTTCGAAATAAATTCTTAATTAATGTTAAACAGACCATTTTCGTATCTTAAGGCCCAGATGACCATCTATCGAACGCTATGTTTTGTTTAAAGTATATCTTGTTAGGCTAAAATATGTTGAAATTTGAGCAGAAATTTGTGTAGCGAAAACTACTCTCTTGATGGTTATAAGATGATAATGGAAAGAAAATACTGATTCAAAAGGATTTACCAAGTGCACAAAAAAATAATTAAAAATATGCAGCTTACCATTGCTCTCCACTTCATTGGGTGACAGCAATGGTAAGTAAAAGATCACGTTCAATAGATAGTGGCGAGAATAGTCCATGCAGTCCACGAAGAGAAAAATTCAATAAATTTACGTGCCTGTTCCGTTATTTACTAATCAAAATGATATTTAGTAAAAATGACGGAACAGTTACACACTTTTTCACTGAATTTTCCGGAACAAAAACGGAATGTTCAATGAAAAAGTGCGTAAATGTTCCGTAATTTTTACTGAATATTGTTTTGATTATTGGTAGGTCACTGAACATGCGAGTAATTTTTGGTTATTTTTTCTCTCTATGCCTTTAAGACAAAAATTATTAACAATTATTTCCAAAACTGAATCAATTATTTCTTCGATTCGCTAAACATTTGTATGATGCTACCTAATTTACGAATTATAAAGAATTAAAATGTCTCATTTCTCTATTCGATACAGCCGTTGAATTTATATTGTGACACATCAAATGAAGCAAAATCTTTAATTCATAGGAATGTATAGTTTATTTATTCAAATTCACAATTTATTTGAGTGCAATAATTTACTTTCGGAGATTAAATAGAGATTCCGGATAAAGTCAGTCAACTATTTTTTAATGTAAACTAATTATTCTTGTTCAAACGATTTCTATTTGAATCATCGGTTTTTCGGATGTATAACTCAAACTCAGAATTTCTATTAATTTTGTCATCAAATTATAAGTTTTCATTGAGGTATCAAACAATTATTTCTATTTTCGGAACAGATAACGACATATCATTGCAGTGATTCAATGAGATAAGTTTTTGATTTGAGTGCATCCTTAAAGAATGGGATCTATTTAGGTAAACACTGAAAAATATTTTCTACACCTTTAGTACAATTTTTAAGCCCCCCAGGAAAATCCTATTGCCAAATCCATTGAAGTACGGTTTAATCCTGAGTTATAGGGGATTACTGCGTCAATTCACCCCAGGATCAGGTGTGTACGTCCACGCTCCCGGTACGAATATGACCCAACATAACGATGTAATGCACCATAAACATCAAAGAATATTTCCAAACACCAATTAAAATGCGCCTAAAATCCCCGTTCATCAATCACCCTGCATTACAATCTCCCTTTTCCAATACCAAAAACTAAAAAAAAAACAATTTTACATTTTCCATCAATTTTGTTTAGTAATTTTATGAAAAATCATGAAAGTAGAAACATATTCATTTAGATTATATTACCTTCGTTGAATCTATACATACATAGAAAGGTTTATATTTCCAGGGCTATCCCCTGAGGCTGACCCCGAGGCGGCAGGGGTTTTGGACACTGAAAAAAAAATGAAAAAAATCGCTTGAAATATCGGAGAGATTAGTCGATCGAGCTTTTCCCGAGCTTCGGGCCTACCCAATCCCCCCCCCCCCCCCCCCCCCCCCCCCCCCGCCGTCGTTTTGTCTCGTAACAATAATTTGTCGTTATCAAATAACGGTACAATCCCGTACTCGAGCACATACGAGCCTTGGTTATTTGTATTGTATGGAATACCTCGCTTCTGAGATTCTAACGCGTGAAAAAGCCCGACGGGCCGATAAATGTTGGTGAAATAAAATTTTACTGTCGAATAATACCGTGGAGTTTGTTGCTATTGAATTCCGGCTCGTTTCGCCAACGGTAATCCCACCGGTGGCACCCCCTCAGACCACTGAAACAAATGGGTTGAATTTTTTTACGTGTTTGGTTCGGAAAACGAGTCTGAAAGGGTTTTAGAGGTGAAACAAATTACAGATAAGGTACTTGAGGCTATTTTTATATGCGAGGGGATAATACACAAAGAGATATTGAATTTAATCTTCACTCTATATCAATTAGGAGGGAAAGGGGGGGGGGATCCAATGATTATCAGGTCAATTGATTCCATATTTTGATTTATTATTCAAATTTAAATTTTGGCAAACTCTAGGAAAAAAGACCATAAAGCGTGTTGAACCCATAATATTCTCCACTTGCTATTCTCTATGATAAAAAATCACTTCCTCATATAAACTCTTTAATCAGCTTTACGATAACTGAGTCCTAAAAGTATTGGGGAGAAATTGAAAGATTACTTGTTACTAATAAATCACTCTGCCATTTGTAAAAAATATTAAAAGTACTCGCGGGAAATTGTATAGCTACACTTTCTACTCAATCAGCAAATGTAGTACTTGATCCAAGGTGAGTAACTGTACCTCGGATGAATCTTTCCACTACACCAAAATAAATATTTTGTAAAATTCCGTGACTTTAGGTGAAAATTACATAACAGTTTTCACATTTCGCTCCAGAATTATGGACAAAAAATGTTATATTTAATTTTTTATTGTATATTTCGCTTCGGGTACTTGTTAACAGTCAACTTCGTTGAAGTAGGTACATGCTTAGAGCGATGAGTACTAATCTTTTGTTGAGTGTACCTGATTTTAAATAAAATAACTTAATGATCAAGGAGATGGTTAAATCCCATCACTATTAGTCCCAAAGTCCCAAATAAATAAAGCCCATTAACTTCACCCCCGAGACTCCATATCCAGCAACAATATACAGGTCTAGCTTTAAAAGTTGCCACCCCTGCCGATTCTCTCAACTGCACAATTGAGAGTCGGGTTTTGAAATAAACGAACAGAGTACAGTAGTAGGTGGGTAACTCCCCCAAGTCTACCACAGAGAATAATGTTAATGAAATACAGATAGGATCTCTATACAAGAAACCCAACTAGAAGAGCCAGCTGGAAATCTTTTGTCCTATTGCTCTGGCAACTGCGTGAATTACGCTTACGCCTATAACACCAAAACCCAACCCCTCAATGTCTTCCAAGTCGAGGGATGATTTTACGTATGGAAGAGTAACTCGCGGTTATCCCGCACTCAGGCTACCTGAAACTCAGTATTCAATGAGTATTGCCATCTTAGTATTCTTCCTTCGTGTTCGTATTAATTCGCTGCCAAGACATTTAAATGCCGTGATATAGACAATTGTTTCTCCGCTGACCTTATGAACTGCTAAATAACGCGTAAAGCTCCACTATAGGAGCTGCTGGCCACCACGCGGGGTTGGAGTTTACTTTGTAATTATGACGAATTTATGGTGATTGCCATTTTTTTATTCATTCCAGGTTCATTCAAATGAAGGAATAAAATTTACACTAAAAAATAAAATAAGAAAATAAAAATAAATAATAAAATACACAATTTTCGTCAATTGCTAAAAATTTGTTTATTTAATCATAACTAAAATTGACTGAAAAGTTTATTCAATGACTTTTCTATTTAGTTTTAGGATATTTTGTCATTGATTACGCTGTTCGAATTATTTTCATTTCAGTCACAATATCATCTAAATTGTCAATCAGTTGCTTTTTCAATGAGTTTGAATTCAATTTTCAATTAATGGAAAACTCAGAAGAGTTACTACGTGAATTTTCCGGCCATTCAGAAGCTCTGCTCTGCTTAAGGGACCTATTCAAGAAATTAACTGATTTGTTAGAGAAGAATTCTTCGCAAAGTACATGTGACTATTTTACCAACTTCAATGCCTATAAAAAAACACATATATACGATGAAGTCCAATGGTTTTCCCTTGTATATCTTAGGTTAAGAAAATGTTTTTTTTTTCTCATCATAACAAATACACAGAGAAATATATTAAACATTTTTTTGCATTAGATTTTCGTGAACTAAATGTTATTAACAGAGCTGAATGTATTAGTTATGTAATTTCATTTTAGAACGAAACTAGAGGAATGAAGACTTCACTGAATATACTGTTATAGATTTAATTTAGTGGATATTTTTCGCATGTGCCGCCACCTTCTTATGATTGTTACAAGCGCGCAAAGTGCGCGCCCAATGCGAATAATAATAATATAGAGAAAAAGTGAAGTATTGGTTTGATTGTGTCTTTTCATTTGATAAGAAATGTAAGTAAGTCAGAAGATATGGAAACTTGATGGAAAAGGGTATGATAATACGCTCGACGCTCGAGTCTTGCAATAATCATTAGAAACTAAAGTGCGTAAAAGGGGGTTAAAGTACTTGAGGCTACCCCAAAAGTTGTCTACCCGGCTCACAGTGGTATGAAGCCCTAGAAGAAGAATACGTATATACATAGGAGAAAGTTAGAC